TATTCCTTCAGGGAACAGGCTAACGTCTAGAGTGAAAATGTAAAGTTTGGGCTGACTTGAAGAGACCTTTTACTCTACCCCATGTAGAGTTGGATTTCTTGCTTTTAGCACATGCCTCACTCTCATCATGTTCTCTGAGGGCACTACCTGCGCTTGTACTGTAACATCCCTCTGCTCCACAACCTCCCATGCTGGTTCGATCAGATATGTCAAGAGAAAAGCTGCAGCCAAGAGAAAGACCATCAAATATCCTGGCAGCAAGCTGCCCACCAGGTAACCCAATATACCTGCAAGCTGACCCACCACAACATCTTACGATCTTACACCCAGCCATGTTCTCTCCACATGACCCCGCAAGGCATGTGGAGACCCGACAGTTTGCTTAGGCAGATACTCAATATGCAACTGTATTTCCTGCAAGACACAGAAGCCTCCTGCTCAAAGGACTTCTGGGTCTTGTAGATTCCAAGCAGAGACAGGACTATCAGCATGTCTATCTAGGCCCAGGCATGAAAGTTCAGAGAGGGGTTATTGTCATACCACAACAGAGAATGGTGAACCATCCTCCTCAGCAAGCAGAGCCAAATATTATCTTCAGGAAGTAGAGGTGCAACCATCTGTTTTGAGAAGATGACTATCAAAGGTAACTATGACCCTAGTTACCCAGGAAACTCTGTGAGAAAAAAACAGCCACAGCAGGGAATAGACTGTAAAGGAAAAGAAGGAACAGCATCCCCACTGAGGATCATTCAACTCAGGTGATAAATCTGAGAAGCAATTATGACTACATTTAAATATATCATTTCTATAGCAGACAGGGAAAGAAATCATCAGCAGTAGATCTAGACCTCCTGGTATACCGAGTCATACACGAAATTTCATAAAGCACATGCACTACTCTGAAAATCATCACAGAAGGTTTGCTTAGCCTCCTCCCAGAACTATATTTTAGAATTACTTATTTGTCTTAAGGGTATGGTCAAAGGCTTCTAAAATTGCTCTAGTCCAAACTCTATAATGTAATAAACAATGGACAACAGTGTCTTGAAGTAAATACTTGCACAATCCCCCACAACTGCAGTGTAAGCTGGGATCCAACATTTCTAGCTGACATCCCTAGAGGTCATAAAAATGACCAAGAGATTTCTCAGCTGAATGTCCACCACCTCAGTTACCTAGGGACTGGGATAGAAGAAATACTGTCAGTCCAGAAGTGTCTGCAAGGAAAGCCCACTGAGGCCTTGAGGGTTGTCCTGTCCTGAACCTCCTCAAGTTCTCTGAGCATCACAAGCCTGCTTAGAGACTTCTTGCAGGCCCACAACCACTTGGCATTCTTGTACTAGACACCAGGGGAAGCAAACACCTGACAGCTAAGTTGTCACCTGGGACATTGCACAGAGATGTGGACTACAGACAGTGCCCAGAACAGCTTGCAGTGCAAGCTAGTTTCCTCAAGGGCAGGTGTAGGGAATTGGCTATAGAACAGGGCTGGCCTAGGCCGTGAGAACATCTTAGATAGCAAAGTTAGAGTGCCCTTGTACGTGTTAATAGGCTGGTAAACAGGACATTGTGATTAGCAAAACAAAAAACAACTGAGTACCACCTGTGTCAACAATGGAAGGCAGTTACGATGATATCACCACCTAACTGAGTACCAATAATGAGCCTGATCTCTGTAATATTCATGAACCTATTATAGAGTGTATATTAAGCTACTGTCAATCTACAATAAACGAAGTTCCTGGATTCTCACATTGAGGTGTCTAGAGCTTTCCGTCGCGACAAATTTGGCGCCCGTGTGCAGGGACCAGAGGGGGGTCCCTAGGAGATCAAGTCGGATCTCCTGGGTCGGAGTCAAGTCGGACTCGGAGTCAAGTCGGACTCCCGAGAGCCAAGTCGGGTTCTCGCAGCCACGGTCGGACGTAGGAGTTTCGGTCGGTCTTGCCGTGCAGCACAAGAAGGCGAAAGGGCTGGACGAAAAAGAGCTCAACTTGCCGCCGCCGGACGCCTCCCTTTCGGGGATTTCGGACGGCGAAAGAGTTAAGTTCCGTGCTTCCAGGGCCCGGCGCCCGGGACGACTCCTGAAGAAGGAGGCCCGCCGACAAAGCCGCAAAGTCTCGTGGAAAGGGCTGCACAAAGCGTGGTAACACGTTTTTTAGGTAATAGAGGGACAGGCGGCACTATCATTGCTCCAATGCTTTCTGGGAAAGCGGGGAGTTAAGACGAACTGGCTTTGAGGCAGATGCTGCTTTCATGTAAGGGCCAGGGATATGAAGCGAACACTGTAACTGCCTTTACTATCTCTACTTGGAAAGAACTTAGTGATAAGCTCTTTACTGCTACCTATAAGGGAGAAAAAGTTGCTGCTTCCCTCCTTACAATTTGGCGATTGTTATCTAGAACAGTAAAAGACATTAAAGCACAGTCTGAGGACATTAGAATGCTACTAGATACCATCATACGGAGAAATCGTGTAAAAAGGGAGTCGAGCGGAGCTGAAGGGAGCCGGTGCGGGACCAGAGATCACAGATCGGGGCCGGGGACAACCGGGCGGCCCCGCCAACATGAATGCGGTGCTAGCATCTCGGCAGTGCATATCCAGGACGATCGGAGACGACAGCTGCAGTGTGAAAGTACTGCTGATAGACCAGAAATGAACTTTACGAACACTATGACTGAGTTCCACCTTAAGACATTTCCAGCTTTTCATCTGAACTGTGCTGCGGGACTGCGCTGCACATTTGCGGCTGTGTTCACGGCGCTGGGTGCTTGCGCCGCCGTGCTGAGTGAATACGGGGCGGCGCCGAGCAGCGGGGCAATGGTGGTGGTCGCGCCGCCTGCGCGGCCCCGGCTCGGAGCGGTGCGCCCGTGTGCGTGCACGCCGGCGGCCCCGGGCGCGGCGGGCGGCGGGGGGGCTCTGTTTTCCCCGCACTGCTGACAGCCATGGGCCCGGGGGGTGTGCGTTCCCCTTCCCTTCTTTGCAGCGAGTGTTTTTTCCCTGGTGCCGCTCCTCTTCCTAGAGCGGCGAGTTAATGACGGTAGCAAAAGCTTCAGAGGGTGCAGCTGGGGGAGAGGGAAAGCTGTTTCTCTTTTTCCCCGTTACACCAATCACCCCTTCTCTGAAACGTGCCTGTTTGCAGCTGTTCTCTCCCTCTCCTACGTTTTTGTCTCTTTTTAAGCAGACCCTGTGATTAAGTTAAGTTCCTTCTGCTGATCTCTCTAGGTGAGCCCAGCCCCTCCTCCCCCTCCTTCGTCCTTCGGCAATGAGGAGCGTGGGGGAGGCAAAGACGGTAAAACACGGAAAAAAGGCAAAAGAGAAAAAACAACTTAAAATTAACAATATCCCAACTTATAAATCAAATAAGATTGCATTGTTTTTATAGCAATAGGTGTTAAGCATGCAGTGTGCTCATGGCATTCTCAAACGTTTTCTTCAAAACAGGGAGACTGATGAAAATCCTTTGAAGTAAGATTAGAAATAACAGAACATCCGTGCTTAGCTTTTTGCATATTGCAGAAGGTTGTTAAGAATTTCCTATAGTTTGCCATTTTGCTTCTCTTACATAAAATTTGGCTGTTTCCCCCAGGGGCAAGGTGCAGGTAGGAGATTTGGAGATGGAACGATGAGACAGAAGGGGATATAGTCTTGCCCCCTGCAAAAGTAGTTTTATTGTCTTTATGATAAAATAGCATTGCTCTATAAGAAGGGTTGAAGATTTCCAAGATAATATTCTGTTCTTTCTTGCTGTATTTGTCTTTTACATGGAGAGTTATGCAGGATTTGCAGATTGCTGATGGCAGCTATGCCATAAATTTCCTTTGAATTATGAAACTGATAAGAAGTGCACAGCCAATGACTACTTGAAAATGTGTGTGTGATTGAGGAGAATGTCTGAGGTGGCCACCTGAATGTTGTGTGAAAGAAAAAAGCTACATGAATGTGTGACTGTGTAAACTTAAAAATACTTTCTGCCGGTGTCAAGATTTTAGAGATGTGTAACACGATTCTGTTGAACCATAGTGAATCCTTATCCTGAATATGAATTCTTCAAATTCCCACCATGAGTGGTGAGGTTTTAGTTATCTCAAGACTAGCCCTGTCCAGCTAGCTGTTTGATCTGAACTGAGGTTAAATAAGAGGTTCTTACATAAATTTGGTGTTCTATTTCTGCCTTGTTTCAGAAATTTATGGAAGTTAAATCTCAGGTAGAGTTTTTCTACTGCTGTTGTTCCTTAGCTGTGCGAGCTGCGCAGGAGACCACTAGTTTTAGAGCGAGTAAAAACCATAAGCCAGCAAACATTGGTGCAGACTGCAAGGTTGGCAGAGCCCGAGGCAGGGTGCACCACTATGCATCCAGGTGCCCGGGAACCATTCTTACAATTCGTAGAAAAGCTGCAAGACGCTGTAGAGAAACAAGTTTTGTGACAGTTACAGAAGTTGCTAGTTACATAACTAAGTAGAGATAATGCAGGTTTGTGCTGGGATGAGGTCCTTAGACCATCAAATAATTGCATTTTCATCTGCTGTGGCAGTAGTGAGGGTCGTTTTGAGCTTTTCTGTGTTTTTCAGGATTTAAATCAGGAGTGGTCGATGTTGCTGCTCGTTGCAGGGGGGGCCTTTAGGTTGTCAAGGCCATCCTGCGTGCCTTCTCAAAAACATCTGCAGTGCTGTGGATAGTGTGTCTTCAGGCCTCTTGGCTGGAGGCCAGAGCAGACCAGTTATGCCAAGTCTTAATTTTCAAGTGTTGTTTGTACTCTAAAGAACTCCTTTGCAGAGGATTGTTCCAGCAAGTTTCCTATGCTTCAATCCAGTGCAGCTTCATAGTTTTTCACCTCTTTTACAGTTTTGAGAAAAACACGCTGTGCTTGGCCACAAGCCTCCTTTAAGCTGATAGTCTTGTGTCCCTGTGAGAGCTAGGGGCGGAGTGCAGTGTGCAGGTGCGGACCTTGTCCTTCTCACAGTAGCATTCCAGCAGTTTGCCGTGCTGGAAGATTTCCTCTCAGCCAAAACCTGGGCACCACAGAGCCCCACCAGAACGTAGTTTTTTCTGAGTGTTCTTTGTGCTATGCTTACTCAGGTGGGCTTGGCACAGGGAGGGCTTGTAAGTCAGGCAAGTCTTCATGGCTGGACGGGGGCCTGTGGGGAAAAGGCAGAGTGGGCACAGGGAAGGGCCCTGCTGGCGTATTTCTGTTCCTTCTGTATGCACTCCTTGCAGAAGCTGTGACCACACCCCAGGGACATAGGGTTCCTGTAAATGTCCAGGCAGATGGGGCATATCAGTTCGTCCTTCAGCCTGGCCTCAGCACCCACCTTGGCCATGTTGCCTGAGCCTCGTGACAGGGCTGAGAGCAAGGAGGAAGGCACTGGTGAGAAACGGAGAACACAGCATACAGAAACCTTCAGATGTCAATTTAGCTTAATTCATTCTATTGCTCACTCAGTTGTTGTCTCTTGTCCAGATTGTTGTCGTGCTTGTACTGTCTATTTTAGTACTAACCCTCGAGGTCTTACTCTGGCAAAAGATCCCCAGGAGTTAAGTTTAATGAGATCACTGTCTGTACGTAACACAAGTGATAATGAGACTCAAACCTGTTTTATGTTAAGATTATTTCAATCTAGATTCAAAGCCACGACTTGTCCAGCTGGCACAAACTACCTAACCTGTACACAAAAGAATTGTAGAGCCTGAGTGAAACAGTAGAACACACAAAGAAAGTAACAGTAACAACTAGTCCTATAGACTCATAGCTTCAATCTATTTTTGGTTCTATGTCTGAATGAGTTTTAAGTTTTGTTAAAGAAAAGCCTACGATGGTTGTTGACAATTGTTATAATTTTAGTAATAGTTCATATTGATTTTTCTTGTATTGTTAAACGTGTAAGTGCTATAACAGAGAAAACATTGTTGGCCCAGAATAAAAAAACGGGGGTATTTGTAGGGAATTGGCTATAGAACAGGGCTGGCCTAGGCCGTGAGAACATCTTAGATAGCAAAGTTAGAGTGCCCTTGTACGTGTTAATAGGCTGGTAAACAGGACATTGTGATTAGCAAAACAAAAAA